GCAAAAGTAACAGAAACAGTATGAAAGATAATTAACCAAACCACTCTATATCGATCTATATAGGTTGTTAATTTTTAATTTTTTTGGATCTATATATAAGAAGAAAGATAGAGCCGGATAGTGTTTCTTGTTTTAGTGTTAATTTGAGACTTTTAAAAGAATGACACACAGCTCTGATGATGTCCATCGAAGGATGGACGAAAGCTCAGCACATTTTCACCCGAAACGAGGGAGAAAGTCTCGTGGACTGCGTCAACCTGAACGTGGTATAAAAATCAAACGGCTGCAGTGCAATGAGATTCATTCGTTCTCATCTTGTGGGATCGACCAACGAATCTCTTCTTCATGCACTTTCATACGAAATGAAAGTCCCCCTAACAAGGTTATCTCAAGAGATTCATTGAAACCTTCTTTCTCTTCCTATCTACATTATATATCTGTTTTCGCCTATACATTTTCGTTTTTTATTTAACAGCATACCTAAGTGTCGAGCTTTTTTTTACATTTAATTATAACCGATTTTGCGTACAGAAGTTAACATACACACACACATGTACACCCTATATATATATTATATATCCATTTATATCTTAACTTTTTCTTGAAATGAGTATATATATGTAATGTAGTGTTAAATTGAATCTTTTACAACAATAAGTCTCAGCTCTGACGATGTTCGTCACATGACGAACGAAAGCTTAGCCCGTCTTCGCCCGAAACGTTGGAGGATTTCTCGTGGACTGCCTCAAACTGAACGGTTGCAGTATGCCGCGAATTAGCCAATCTCTTCTAGTGAGGTTGATATACAAACAGCTCCATCATGTACTTCTTTACGAAATGAAAGTCTTCACATCAAACTTATCTCTTGAGATTCTTCGAAATCCACATTTTCTTCGTATTTTCATTAGAGGTAAGATAGAGCCGGAACGTCTTTTTGACTTTGATTTAATGTGAGACTTTTACAAAAATCAGTTTAAGCGCTGATGATGTTCATCATATGATGGACGGAATCTCAGCCCGGTTTTACCCAAGAAAAGGGAGGATATTTTGTGGATTGCGTTATCGTGAACATAGAAATAAAGCCAAATAGCTGCAGAACAACGGGCATCTGCCATCGTCTTCCGGCACGATCAAACAAAGAATCTTTTCATTACGAACTTTTATACGATTCAAAGAATCTCTAACAATGTTATGTTAAGAGAGTTATCGACAGCTAATTACTCTTCATATTTTCTTTTTATGTCACAGCCTTTAAACTGATCGATCAATCACAGTCTCGCCACCTAAACACAGGCTTCCTATTGGCTCCAATAGACTGACCTATCACATTAAACCACGACGTCGGGCAAGAACCAATCAGAAGCTGATACTCTATACTCGATTAAGAACCCCAGCTGAAGTGACTTTCGAGCACGCCGCCAGCTCCCGTTTGGCCCATAAATTGGCCTACGGTATGCTCTGCTCTCATGTTTACATCACTCTGTCTCATTTAAACAAGTTGCCATAGCTTCTCCCTTCTATATTCAGGTCGTGGCACAAAGAAGAAGATTTATCCACTTCGATCCAACCGATGCTGTTACGAGTATATGACATGTGTCAATCTGTTTAGTTTAAGGTGATGAAGGACTGATAATATGAGATGTGCTCACCCAATCTCATATCACTGATCTACTGGTAGTCTCAAAACAATAATTAAATGCGAAAAATGAATGACTGATAATTGAATTTTCCCACATTGGCATGAGAAGACCGTACGATTCCATTGGATTTCGCATGGTTTTACTTGCAAAGAGTTAGTATCAGTGTAATACAAGCAGAATGAGAATACTTTTTGGGGAAACAAGACTATGCGAAATTCAGTGGAAACATACGATCTATTCATATAATTGTGGGAAAATTCAACTACCAGTCCTTTATCACCTTAAACGAAATAAGCTTAACGCAATTCATATATCTGATTTACTGGTAGTCCAGACGACATACTTACAAATGATTAAAAGTAGACATGAGCGACAAGTCTATTGTGCTCGTTGACTTGTGGTCTGTTCATGAGTTCCATGTAGTCAGGAATCGAGTTATCTGTACTCCATGCGCTCTAGTCAAGCTCATCGTTTTTTGTGCATCCACTTTGGGCGAACTGATTGAACCTGAACTTTGTCGGAATCTTCTGGATCATTGAAGAAGCAAATCTCTAAACCGTACTTTATCGATGCCGCCCAGTCCAATGCTATCAGACAGACGATGTTCGCATAAGCGGCAGTTCACAATCACACAAGCATAGCTTTTGACTGTGACTAGAAATCGGACACGGACTCTTCAAGGCGGGCAGTCAGCTTGCACAGTTCTCTACAATAGGGTTTGGCAGATCACACCAAAGAACCTATTACTCGGTGTAATCGTCATAGAAACGCAGACAGATAATGGCTTTGAAAGAAAACGATGGGATTAGTGAGGGTACACACAAAATGTCAGCCCGGCCGTGAAACCAGCACAAAGCATAGTCGCACCACTTGCCTCGATCAGATGCCTTTCAGACGACTCTTTCGGACAGCCTGGATCCTCGAGAAGTCGGAGCTCCGCCTCAACCGACAGCACACAAGTGAGTCTATTCTTGTTGTATCTAATTGCAGAATTGTAGAACAAGTCGTAAGCAAAATGCCGATATGAGACGAGATCTGTCGACTGGCATAGGATACTTTTTATGCGCTCACTACTTAAACTACTGAATAATCCAGCTCAGGCGTGTTGTCCTAGTGATGTGTGCTGGCAGGTGTGCAAAAATCCCTGACACTTCAGAAATTCTGAGAGTATAAATGAATATCTATTTTTCCGGCGAGTTTTAGCCGTCTTTATTTTGGTAGATTGCAAACATACTACTTAAATATTACTTAAATGGGACAGACTCTAGTGATAGCCTTATAGTTCTTAAATCTGCAGTCCTTGGATTATTGTCGTGAAATAAGTTCTTCCGTCCAGATCATGTCCTAGAGGTGAGGCAAGCCGATTATCTTAGGTTGTGAGGAATTTACAGGCTATATTGTGACTGGAAGGGGTCCCTCTAATTAGTGTGGAGGAATGGCGCCAGAAGGAAAAGTGTAGTCGTCTAAAGTAGCCAAATGTGACCAGCAAGCGATAGTGAACTGTCCTATAACGATATGACTAGACCTCTCTCTGCCATTTACTTGCACTTGGGCTTGCCTCTCCATACAGTCACTGTTATCAGTGACAGTCGCCGCGGGCGCAAAAATGTGTTTGTCATTTTCAGAAAGAGTAGGTTTAACTGTCTGAGCACACTTCGTTTCGCCTGAAACTGATGCACAACTTGGTCTCACCCGACAAAGATCACAGTTTTCTAATGGAATTGTAGATGAGGTTAAATTCGTTTTTATAATTACAATTGGCTACATTACTTGTATTCGGTCAGATCAGTTTATATACTATGAATATATTGTGAAAAATAAGTATACTCACCCTAGGTCAGTTGCATAAAGAGTTACAAGATAGATACTGAAATTTTTCCATAAACAATATGAATGGTCCTCATGATGTCAGTATTGAAATCTACCGTTTAGATACGAGGAGAAGCTGGGTTTAGAAGCATCCCTTAATAGATGGAAGCTGAAGGCCTCTTATGTAATTTGAAAATGCGTGTGAAAGGACTTAGTAACTTGGCTTCATCGGATACCGTAGGAGGGTTGCCTTGGACTTGTGACTGTTGAATTGGGCGACGAACGCCTCGATTTGTTGTCTCACTAAACTATAGAATCTATGCTGAATGGATGGCTGAAAGACTCATGACTTGGTTTGTGCGTTTGGTCAATTGTTCCTAAATGATGCTTTCCGTCCTTGACGGACAGAAGGTAAACCCGAATTCATTGGTGTAGCAGAACGGTGAGTTAAGGTCTTCTTCGCCCAATTCAGCAGTCACAAGTTCGAGGAAACCCTCATTTTCAGACTAAATGAAAGGCACATCTGCCCCAATCTATTAAGGGATTCTTCTGGCATCATGAGGTCCATCAATATCGTTGTGGGAAAATATCACAATATTTTATTTATCTCTTTATGTGAATGACATAGGGCGAGTATAATTCTTTTATTACCATAAAATGGTACTATTGAAGCCTACTTTGACTGAATATAAGCAAGGTAGTCAAGTGTAACAGAAAAAATCAGTTTGATTCTTTCATAATTTCACCATAAAAATATGATTTAAAATAGGCCGATACGATGCCATTTCCATTCACATTTTGAGACAAAACCAAATGTACGCCAACAGTGAAGCCTATTTTTCTTGAATATGGTAAGCACATGCTTACAGTTGGCAACAGTGAATGTAGGAAGCAGTGGTAAGAGGCCAAAAAGATACAGATTCGATTCTCGTCCAGGGTGCTGAGGCGCTGTCGGACTTGGATTGCGGTCTAAACGGGATGGGATAGCTTTTTGACAGGCAAGGCAGTGACATATAATGACATTCTCCGGTCGAGTCATATCGTTGTGGGAAAATGCACCCAGCCAAAGTGACCCGGGCTGACTAAATTCCTGGTTATATGAGATGTATTCACCCTATTTCGTTCAAGGCGATGAAGGATTGGTAGTAGAATTATCACACGAAACTCTACTTATGTACGAAAAACAAGTAGCGTAGTTTGT